TCTTGGGGCTCTTTGGGAGGGGTCTGGGAGGTATCTTGGGGCCATCTTTCGGGCGATCGATCGCAGATGGGGCGGGCACTTTTCTGCCCCCCCCCCGTCGGGGCCAGAATCCTCCCCGAAAGGGAAGAAGGGGGGTTGAGAACAGAGCGGGCTCCCTAAACCACTCACGCCCAAAGGGCTGGTGGGATTTGTTCACGAGCATCATCTTGAAACCATCCAAACACACACCTTCCCGTGAAACCCTTGCACCTGTTAATAATGAATGTGCGCCGCGCTCAGGCGAGAGCCACATGTTGAAAAGGAACCGCCTTCAATCCGTGGAACTCTTGCAAATATATAAAGCGAGTGTGCGCCGCGCTAAGGCGAGAGCCACATGTTGATGACGACCCCCCCTCTATCCGTTGAGCTTTCGTACATTTCCAGAACGAGTGTGCGCCGCGCTTCGGCGAGAGCCACATTTTGAAAACTACCCGCCCTCAATCCGTGAAGCTCTTGCAATTGTTTAAAACGAATGTGCGCCGCGCTAGGCCGAGCGCAACATTTTGAAAACCGTCCGCCCACAATCCGTTTAACCCATGCAAATGTTTGAGCGCGCGCGTAGCGCGCCCCCCGCAGGGGTCTACCCTTTCTATATGTCGGCGCTCAAGCGCAGCGATGGTGTGATGCTGTTCTCTTATCAGCGTGCTGACAGCGCAGGCTAGAATATGCGATGCGCTGTGGCGGTGAGATGATTGGACTCGTTTGCAGTGCGATGCGTCTGGGTTCCAGGACCCGCGGACATTCCTTTTTAGCTGCAAACTTCGAGGCGCAGAAGCACGCATTGTAGAATACACATGCTAGAACCCGACGCAGTGCAGACGCACTACCCGAATGCAGTACACATTCTAGATTCATCAAAGGCCGCGTCGTTGTGCAAGTGGAATACCCCGATTAGAACGGGTGCACTGCCTACGTCTACGCCAAAACGCCCGCCGAGGGCGGATCACGCCGTCAGCGCGTCGCGCATGATGTGCTTCACCATATCTCCCGTCTTAACCCACATGTCGTCGTCCTTGTGCCAGTAATCGTATTGGGCCGAGCGGATCTTGGTGGCAAGCAGCCTAGTTCCTGCCTTGGCGGCGGCGCCCCTGCGCACGCGGTCCTCAATGAAACGCCACGCACGGTCAATGATCTGCGTGCCGCTCTTGACCTTGGGGTGCTTGCCAGACGGGAGCACGTGCGTCTTCAGCTCCACGCACTTGTGGGGTATGAGGGCCCTCTTGCCGCCGACTTTCTTGTACTTCTTTTTGTGAACAACGGAGTCGTGCATGACACCAGGCACGCGTCGTTTGTAGGAGCGCGCAGAGTAAGTATGAAAGACAACATCGCGGTCCTTCAGCCAGCGCTCAGCAAGAGGTTTCCACTCCCTAGGGCCAGGCGCCCGCTTCTCCGCCATCTCAGGGCTCAGTATCGCAAGGGTCAGCGTGCGCGGCCTGCCGCGCTGCACAACTGCCCAACCACTGCTCCCACATGACGGGGTGAGATGGGTCTCCCAAAGGCTCGGGGCTGGGCCATCTTGTCGAAGGTCGCCTCGTCGGCTTCCACGTCGGCCCACGCCTTCGGCCCACTGTATTCAATGGTTGGCTCAACGTCCTCCACGTACATCCCCCGAGCCTGCTCAACGTTGCTCCAAACCCGCTCCACCGTCTTGTGGTTGACGCCGAACATGATGTGCGCGTTCGCGTGGGAAGTCCCCGTGAGCTTCGCCAGTAGGACCACGGCCTGCTTCTGCAAGCTCCCGGACGTCGAGCGGTCGCTGAAGATTGGGTTGAGGTGGGCGGGGGACAACGTGCTTCTGGCAGCCCGTCGCGCTGCAGCGGTGCAAAATGCGATCGCCCTTGCGCGGGCGAACGGCTAACTCCCCGAGCTTGCCGCGCCCGCAGAAAGGACAGGTCGCCCCCGCCCAATCGACGAGCAGCTTGTCCTCCAGCAAGGCGTTCACGATCTCCGCGTCAGGCGCCGCCAAGAGCTCTGGAGCCGCGCGCTTCCACTTTGCCTGCTCGCGGCGCAAGCCCCTGCCAGGCGTCGCGTCCTTCTCCCCGACGTACGGCGCGTTCTTCCAGCCCCTGGTCTCGGTTGCAGCGGGGCGCTTGAGCACCATCCGAGCCTTGCCCTTTGTTGGGGCGAAGCCCGAACGTCCTCCGCAGGCAGCGGCGGGGCGACAGCAGACGGCCATCCCAGGCCCCTGACGCGATGGCACGGACGAGGCAGCGCGCGGGGGGCGCGGGCACCCGCGGCGCTGGCTGTCGACTCTGCCAAGAAACAGCTGCAGCGATGGCGACAGTTCGACGGGGGGGGGGGCGGAATGGGGGGAGTTCTAGTGACGACGGTGGGCGACAACCATTGCGATCGAGTTGCTGGGCGCAGGTGTTTGAAATGGCTTCACCGCCACAGCGAGGCAACGCCTCCGCTGCTTATCAACAACCCCAAACATCGCCCTGATCGAACCAGGGGCACCGTCTCCGTTGGAACGCTGACCAAACAAACGATGCGGATGATGAGCATTGGATACAATCGTGCAAGTGCGTCTGCCGTTTCGTTTGGCGGCGCCAAATCACAGCGATGGTTTGGCGCAGTTCTCTTGGTAGTGTAATGTGCGGAATGCGTGACGACGCGGTGGCGGTAGGCTGGCTGCGCCCGCTTGCAATGCGGCGCGCGCGGGTCCAGAACCCGCTGGCATTTTATGCATGTTCAGATCTGAGCGAAGAAGCGCGCAATTGAGGGCACCCCCGGCGAAATCCTCGCGCAACGCTGGCGCGCTACCCACGTCTATACCGCAGCGCTCGCCGCGGATGTCAACGCCAACCTAGGGTCGGCACTGAACGAGCCGAGGGCCCCTCACTCAGCCCCAACGACGAGGCCGCGAGTCGGCGTGCACCCCGCGCATACACTCCCAGACCAGCTCGCTCTTCTGGAAGAGCTCCGTCCCCATCTGGCGCAGCGCCTCGGCCCGCTCCCCGATGCTGCGCATCGCCGCCAGGGGCGCCATCGTCTTCGGGGCGAGGAAGTGCGACACCACCAACACCAGAGCGAGGGGCCAGGGGGGTGTGTCTGGTGGTGCGACGCCCCCATACTCTCGCACGAGACATCCCCAGCCCCCAGCCCGGGGAGGCATCATAGACATCCTCGCTGGAGGTGCCTCCCTGGTGCTGGTGGTGTCGCTGTTCCTTCCTCCGGTTACCTTGAACTCAAGGCGCATGATGTCGTGCTCCACGGGCGGATTCGGGTTGAAGCCGCGGCCGTGGACGAGCGCGTCGCGCAGCCAGTGGCCGGGGTCGCGCGGCAGCACCTACTGCGGCGGACAGTCAGAAAAGCGGGCGGCGCGCGCCCTCCAGGCGAGCTGGGGCACTACACTCGTTCTTAGAAGTGGGGCTTCGCTGCGCCCGTGCACCGCGTCGTTGTCCGCTGGCTCCATGGATGGGTACGGGGCAAAGGCGGGAGCCACGTGCGGCTCGAAGAAAGACGCGATGCGACTCATGATGTCGGCGGCGACCTGCCCGCAAACTGCCCGATGCTTTGCTGGCTGCGCCAAGGGAGCTGACAGCGCTCTCTTGATGCTGACAGCAAACGACCGATTTAAAGTCAGAGTGCCGACGACGAGAAGAGGGCGGGGGTGCCTCTCGGTTGGCGAAGTATCGGACAGGCCTAGCAACAATCGTAAATCAATCGAATCGGGGATGGCCGCCCACGCTCTGGCCATCTATCAACTGGGCAGAACTGAGCCGCTGCCGGTCGTGGAGTTACCGCTGGCAAACGCGACCAGCGCTTGGTTCTGGAAGAACCGATTGCGTCCTCTGACGCAGGCGATTGCAATTGGGCGCGCTAGCTACGCGCGTGCGCCGAATCTGCCCAGGCCGACCTGCGATCCCCGACCTGGCCAGAGTCGGCGCGAATGCAAGGTTGACGCCCTCCGAGAAAGTGCGCGCCAACCGACGGGGCGTGCACTGCTCGACCCCCAGCGGTTCATGGTTCGGGAGTGCGGGGGGGTAGGTGGGAAGGGGCTCGGCCAGCGGCAGTGTCGTCGAAACCTAACACGGAGCCCGTTGGGCCACGCCTCGTGGAATTGCAAGTGGTTGCCCTGCCAAGTCCTGAGGTCTTCAGGAATGCGAGGTAGTCAACCCCCTGCTCCACCTGCACTTGGAGGAGCTGCGCCTCCGCGAGCATTTGCGAGGCCGCAGCCGACGCGGCGATCATCTGAGCGAGCTGCGGAGTCGGGCGGGTAATGCCCTGGGCGCAAACTCCGATCAGACACAGCTGCAGTGGCGGTGTCGATGGTAATGGTGGCGGCACCGATGGTAACGCCAGTGCGTCGATAGCCAATCGTGGAGCGCGCGGCTGCGCTGGTGCCCCAAACGGTGCTTGCACGTGCAGGTTTCTGATTGGCGTTGCACCTGTTGCGCGGGTTTGCCCAGGTTCCGACACGTCGGCGACCGCGTCGCACCGCGGGCACTCGTTGGCCTAACATAGCATGGACGACATAGCTTGCACCGTGCCACAGAAACTTTCACATCCAGCTTGCACCGCATAGACTACGCCACATGGCTCACACCGCATATATCACTCTGCATATCATTCACATCCGCTGAACATCACGCGACTGTTTGGGGCCCGCGGTGGCTTGAGCTTTCATTGATGGTGCTAAGCGAAGCGTCTACATGTCCATCCCCAAGTGACAACCGATGACACTACTGCGCCAACCTATGCGTTGACGGTACTCAGGAACGGGCGCGGCGCTCCTCACTCCTCGATGTGGCTGCTGATCCAGCTGGAGTTGCTCTCGTCCTCTGCTTTACAACTGCTATTATGATTGAATGTTTTTGTTAAATTAAATATTAGTTTCGTCCTCTGTGTCTTCGCTGATGGCGTATCCGGTGCTGGCGTCACTGTCGGCGACGTCGTCGTCGGGCACGTCGGTGAAGATGTCGCCCAGCGTGTCGTTGCTGTCGATGTAGTCGTCGTCGTCGCTGTGCGCCTCCGTGCTGAAGTCGTCCTCATCGTCGCCCACGGGGAATAAACCCAAGGCCACGTTGGCGCCGTCCAGCGGGTACGCCTCTGCGCCCATCAAGAGCTCCCCGATGTCCTCGTCAGCGCCGTCCTTTCGGACAGCATGAATCTTATATATATATATATATATATATATGTGTGTGTGCATTGCGTTGGCTGGGAGGGGGCAGGGGGCGCAGCTGGCGGCGGCACTGGAGCACAGAGATCGCCGCCGTCACCGTCGTCAGAGGATGGAGCAGAAGGGGATAAGAGGCGGGCGCCTGGCCGTGACCTCGGGGAAACGGGGGGGAGGCACTCCAGCGGGGCCCACCCCCGCTTGATTCTCAAGGCAACAACGCCGACAACCGGCAATACCTCTGCGGATGGGTGCAAACCTCCATTTGAGAAATAGCACGGGGGGGTTCTTCGAGAGCACAGAGCACGGCGCGCTGCGAGCATGCCACACTGACGCCCACATCGCGCGCACTTCACTCGAATGCGCATTGGCGAACTCTTCGCGAATACCCGACGCTGCAGCTGCTGTGGAGAGAGGACTCTCTCAATAACAATTACGTATTTGCAAGCGTGCGTGGTTGAAGAAATACAGGAGCGTCGGTGGTTGAGGGGGAGGCGGGCCCATACCTAGAATCGATGGGCGTTGCGCCCGACGAGCAGGGCATTGCGCCCGATGTGGGCGTTGCGCCCAGAGCCGATGGGCATTGCGCCCAACGAAAGAACATTTCACGCGATGTGGGCATTGTTCCAGACTCCATGGGCATTGCGCCCGACGGGGAGGGCATTGCGCCCGATGTAGGCCTTGCGCCCAGAGCCGACGGGCATGGCGCCCAACGAAGCGGCCATTGCACGCGATGTGGGCATTGACCCAAAACCCATGGGCATTGCGCCCGACGAGGAGGGCATTGCGCCCGATATGGGCGTTCCGCCCAAAGCTGATAAGCATTGCGCCCACGGCAGAGTTACGTCAGGAGGCTGGCGAGGAGAAGCGGAGGAACGAGGAGAGAAAGGAGGAGGACGTAAACAGAAGAAAGAGAGGAAGAGAGGAGGGAAACAGCGGACAAGCGGAAAATCCAGCTAAAAACGGACAAGCGGAAGACCCAACTAAAAGCGGACAAGCGGAAGACCCAGCGGACAAGCGGAAGACCCAGCGGACAAGCGGAAGACCCAGCGGACAAGCGGAAGAAGGCAGAGGGAGGAAGGCGATCGACGGGAGAGGGGGAGCAGGCAGGACGAGGACGAGGAAGAGCAAGACAGTGGATCGGGGAGCGAGGAGAAGAGAAATTCGGAGGAAGGGATTGGGGTGGAGCAGGGGGGGAGTCCAATGATGAAGAGAAAGGGGGAGACAGAGAGAGGGAGGTAGGAAGATGAGGAAAATGATGAAGAGGAGGAAGAGGAATAAACTAAAGGGAGGAGAGGAGAAGAGGGAGGAGAGGGCGAATCTCCAACGACACGGACAATCGCGACGATGGCCACACACGATAGCCGCACCCAGAAACTCCATCTGATCCTCTTGGATGCTACCCCAGTCACACTCCTTCATTTTAACAGATCCTCCTCCTCCTCCTCCCCCTCCTCCCCGTCCTCTTCCTCCTCCTCCTCCTTTTCCTCCTTCTCCTCCTCCTCCTCCTCCTTTTCCTTTTCCTCCTCCTCCTCCTCCGCATCCGCATCCGCATCCGCATCCTCCTCAGCATCATCGCGTTCCTCCCCCTCCTCCTCCTCCACCTCCTCCCCCTTCTCTTGGATTCCCCCTCCTGGATGGCAGCTCCATTACCATCAACGCCGGTTCCCGCCTGAGAGGTTGCCAAACAACTCACTGTGAGGAGGCTCCCACCTGAGATGTCCCCATAAAACAAGAGGAGGCTCCCGCCTGAGGGGTCCCCAAACATCCAAACAAGACGAGGCTCTCGCCTGAGAGGTTCCCCCCCCAAAAAAATGAAACTCGCGCTTGAGAGGTCCCCCCCCCCAAAAAAAAAAACGAACAAGATGAGGCTCCCGCCTGAGAGGTTCCCTCCAAAAAAATACAGAAGGAGGCTCCCGCCTGAGAGGCCCCCCCCAAAAAAACAAACAGATTGAGGTTCCCGCTTGAGAGGTCCCCACAAAACCCAAAGAAACCCAAACACCATGCCTCTCATCCCTGC